ACAGTGATTATTCTGGTTAGAGATTCATGAGTCCAACAGCCTCAGGGTAGAAGCTGTTCCTCAGTCTAGTGGTTCTGCACTTAATGCTCCTCAACCTCCTTCCTGAGGGGAGTGAGGCAAAAGGTGTGTGTGCTGGGTGAGTGGGGTCCTTCATGATGCAGGTGGCCCTCTTCCTGCATCTGGAGGTGTAGATGTCTGTGATGGTGGGGAGACTGACTCCCAACAGACTTCTGTGCAGCCTTCACCACTCTCTGCAGAGCTTTTCTTTCTGCAGCTGTGCAGCCTCCATGCCACACGTTGATGCTGGAGCACAGGATGCTCTCCACTGCACACCTGTAGGAGGTGGTGAGGACTGAGCTTCCCAGTCCAGTTTGTCTCAGCGGTCTGAGGAAGCAGCGTCTCTGATGAGCTTTCTTTCTTGATCAGGCTGGTAGTGGTGTTGCTCCAGCTGAGGTTGTTGTTGTTCAGGTGCACACCCAAGTACTTGTAGCTGGAGACCACTTCCAATGCAGATCCTCTTATGTTCGGGAAGTGTGTGTGTGTGTGTGTGTGGGGGGGGGGGTTGTTCCTTCTGAAGTCCACGACCATCTCCATCTTCCTTCACATTGATGTGAAGGTTTTTCTCCTTGTACCAGCTCTCCAGGTGTTCCACCTCCTGCCTGTAGCTGGACTCATTGTTTGTGATGCAACCCACCACCACTGTATCATCTGTAAACCTTACATTGTGACAGCCTGGATGGGTAGGTGCAGTCATACGTGAGCAGAGTAAACCGGAGAGAACTAGGCACACATCCCAGAGGAGGAGCCAGTGCTGAGGGTTCTGGTGGTGGAGAAGTTGTGGATCCTCACTGACTGTAGTCTGTTTGTTAAGAAGTCTAGGACCCAGTTGCAAATGTAGGGGCTTAGTCCTAATGTGAATAGTTTGTCCATCAGGGTTTGGAGGATCATGGTGTTGAAGGCAGACGTGAAGTCTACAAACAGCATACGGACATAGGAGTCCTTCTTTTCCCGGTGGGTGAGAGCAGTGTGGACCACAGAGGAGATGGCGTCCTCTGTTGATCGATTCTCGCGGTATGTGTACTGGTGAGGGTCCTCGTTGATGTTGATGTGGGCTATGACAAGTTTTTTGAAGCATTTAGCAACTATGAGGGTGAGGGCTAATGGCCAGTTGTCATTCAAACCAGTCAATGTAGAGCTCTTTGGGACTGGTATGATGGTAGCAGTCTTCAGGTAGGTGGGAACTGTTGCCAGAGTTAGTGAGGAGTTAAAGATGTTGGCCAGCACCTCGTAGAGCTGATCAGCACAGTCTTTCAGCACCTTCCTGGGGATGTTGTCTGGGCTGGTTGCCTTGTGAGAATTAATCCTCCTGGAAGTACTTCTCACTTCGGCTGAGGTCACACTGAGAAGCTCTCCTTTTGTTGGTGAGGTGAATCTGGTTATATAGCACCAAGTCGCAAGAAAAATCATCTCAGGGCACTGGACAGAAACATTCATATATAAAGTAATAATTTAACACTATTTATCTGAGGAGCAGGCTGCTTTGAATTTACACCTCAGCCATTTTTTTTTTTTTACCTGGGCACAGCTGACAACACTAGAAACATTTCCTACCACGAACCAAATGTTTATCACGGCAAGGATCAACCCATTTCAAACAAAATAAATTGGCAACTTAACTTCTGCATGAATAAAATATACATTAACATGATGTTAACATCCAGACAAAATACGCTCCCCTTCTGTCATCTACACACAAGCTGTAAACCAGGAAACCAACAGATGCTCATAAAACAAAGGAACGCACTTTACACAGAACGTTGCATCAGAACAGCCATGGTGCATTCAATAACGTAGGAATCATGAAATTCAGAAAGAAAACAAGCTACATTCAAACAGAACTTAGCTCAGCAAGCAAACAGACCATATTAAAACAATGTGGGCTTTCTAACAAGAATCATATTGAAATAATAAATAAATAAAAATTCAGTTCCACTTATGGGACCCCCTTGTGGCCTGGGGCACTAAGCAGCTGCTTATGCCGCTTATGGCAAACAGTTACTAATGGAAAAGGGCCAATGGTTACTCTACTGAATGGCCTAATAGATAAAGAACACGTGCTTTACGCTACAATATGTGCCCTCATTTACCCATTCATAAAGCACTCTGTTATGTCTATACAAATATTAATCAGTGCTTTATCACATTCATACACCAATGGGACACACATCGGAGGCAATGAGGGGTTCAGTGTCTTACCCAGGGACACTTAGGCATGTGACTGCTGGTGGAATTGAACCCGCACTTCTTACATTGGAGGACGACTGCTCTAACCACTCAGCCGCCAAAAACGAACCAAAGAAAGCCACAATATGTACAAGCAACATACACAAATATGTACAGTAAGTTTTTTTTAACAGTGCCTATAACATGGCTGGTTAAAAAAAAAATAAAAAAAAAGTCTGCCAGGAAGACATTGATTGCTAGCTTCATAATCTTTCCTGCGCAAGCTGTCCTGCTCCATGGAGCACAAGTTGCTCTGTGAGCATGTGTCCTGCCTCACATGCTCTGTGCATGCACAGAATCCCCGTGAGGGTGGATTCCCCACCGCCACATTCTCCCCTACCCGTTTCATTGGTTTGATTGTGACCTGTTCAGTAATTTCATTGGTCATATTTTTGTTTTCAACCTTTGTTCATACAGGTAGTCTCATTGAGTCATGAGGAGCCAATCCCTAAGAGAGACATGTAACAGGACAGCTATGCAAGCACCTGGGTGTGACAAAGCAAAATGTTTTTGGTGGCAGGAAGCTCATTAGCCATCAAAAAAACAAAACAAAAAAAAACAAATTATCTGCATCATTGTATAAGCCACGGGATTCAAAGCCTGTGAAAAAAGTAGTGGCTTAAAGACCACAAAGTATGGTAATTACGATCACAAAGCTTTTCCACACAGCTGACTTGAAATAAACAGGCAGGTCTTAAAGTTCCCGTTTCATCTGAACTGGAGAACTTCAGAAGGTACGTTCTTCTACTTATAGCAGTTATGAAAACGCAGTTAAAAATCGTGGACCTTCTTCTAGCGGAGATGTGACCTGACCTGTGACCAAAATACTTTTCATTAGTATCGCTGTAACTATCCCAAACACACAATCTATGACAGTCTGGTACATATATATGTACCATTACACCTCTAACATAAACGCATAATTACTAGGGGTGTGAATCTCTGTGTCTGGTGATTCGATTCGATTCAGATTTTTGGTGTCACGATACGATTTAAAATCGATTTTTCGATTCGGAAATGATTTTCGATTCAGAAATGATTTTTCTATTGAAATGGTCATAAATTTTGTTTCAATTATGTACATGACAAGCTGAAAAGATTAAACAACAATATAAACAAATAGAACTTTTATTTAAAAACCATTTTAGGTTCCTTACTGTATAAAATATTTTTGATTCATTTTATATTTATACCAAAAATAGGAAAAAATATAGGAGTGCATAAAATTCTGTAACTTAAATTACCAGTATTAGGTTAGCTTAGTTGCCTGAATTTTTCTAAAAAAAATAAAATAAATAAAAATCTAGGAACAAATAATTAATCCATCAATCATCTTTATCCACTTTTTCCTTTTCGAGTCACGGGTGTCACTGGTGCCCATATCAGCAATCACTGTGTGAGAGGCGGGGGACAACAGGTCTCCAGTCCATCACAGACAAATAATTCAAAATATATAAATACAAAAGTAAACAGACTTCAGCCTACCATAGTACATTAACCTTTAACTCAAAATAAAATACAGACTTCACAGTTATTTTTAGCCATATTGCTCTAACATTTGTTAAATTTTCAAAACTTAACCTAATATGAAATATACAGACTTCAGTCTTAACCATATTGATTCATATTTAGTAAATCTTTAACAAAATTTCAAAACCTGTGCAAGTTTGCACAAAAACATCTTCTGAACTGTAATTTATAAACCATAAATTGTATTATTTAGAACTGGCTCCAGGTGATGCGTCTCATCTGTCCTCTTCAACCTGTTAAAAAGACAAATTACATTAAGTTTGTTGTACAACTTGTCTATAAGTTTTAGTATAATATGAGAAAAAACAGTTACCTTTGATCTGCAGCTGCATCAGAGCTTCTCCCATTTGTTGTTTTGTGGTGAAGTTGTGGTGCTGCCTTACTGCAAAAAAAAAAAAAAAATTACATAAAGGAATAACGTACGTTGAATCCATCGTATTAAAAATAAACCTGAACCCCTCACCTTCCACTGAGCTGTTTGCTCGTAAATCCTTTGTGATATAGCAGGAGATGAAGAGGGAGCTCTTCACAGCCTTTGGGAGAAGACTGGAAGTTTGTTGCAGAGTTCGCTGGTCGGCTGTTTTGCTTTCATCTTCCATGAATTTTGTCTTATGTCCAAAATACTGTACCGTAATTTTATTTTACACTTCTTGTAAACAACTGTGCTCTTGTGAAACTCCGTCTTTCCCCGGAACATTGTAGGATCTGAAATGATTTTTAAAGAAGCAGCAGCGGGTTGAATCGCGCTGTCCCCCTCCTCCAAGCTAGCAGGCTCCATTCAGATAAAGGGAGCTGGCTAACTAGCTTGATGTACGGTGGCCTACACGGCTCAATTCTACGGCGGCCGAACGGGGAGTAGGAGCGGAAAAAATATAAAACTTAAATGCATTTTAAAATCGATTTTTGGACCTTTAGAAACGATTCAGAATCACCAGGACTAAGAATCTAGATTCATCGAAAAAACGATTTTTTTTCTGCACCCCTAATAATTACTGTAAAAAAAATTTTTTTTTAAACTACAGCAGTTATGGAAAACAATTATTCAAGCATTTTTACAAAAACCTTAGAGCTGTTCAGTTTCAAGTTTGAGTGAACTTTTCAAGTGACTTTAGAAACTGTCTTAATATTTAAAACTTTGCAGTTTTATCCTCTTGTGTGTTTTCTCATGTGTGAGTTTAAAGATGACTTCACTCTAAACCTTTGTTCACAAACATCACAAGCAAATGGTT